GGCAGGACACTCTGGGTAATTAAGGCCAAATAAGTGCTCTCATAGCCCTGGCAGAGAAATGTGTTAGAAACTATGTTAGGACAAGGTAGGGTGCAGCCAGAACGTGGTAATCAGCTTCTGAGCCAGCTTTTGATCATACCTTAGACTCAGGATAGGGTGGACCAGATATTTAGCACTCCATATTCGTTTTTTTCCTTCTCACTACCACCATGAGCAAAAGTGAAAAAATTTGTCAGGTCTTCTATAACCTTTTCCTTAAATCTCCTATACCTTATTTCCTGTAATTTCTAACTTATCCTTTATTTTATATTTGACATTAGATTTGGCTTTCTTACTTATTCTTTACTTACTTTCTTATAGATAAGATCCTGACAGAGGTTAGACTGTTGCTCAAAATCTTTTTTTTTATTGTTTTCTGTTGCCTCGCCCATGGCATTTGAGAGAACACAGCTTCACCTAAAGCAAAAATTGCAAGCATTATGTTTCTAATGTTCAAAGCCTTAACAGGGAGGCATTTGCCAAAAATCACTTTGTAACATTAATTCTCAAGCACAAAAGATACTGTCTAAGCCCTTGACCTCAGTATAATTAAGTACACAGGCTTCAGTAGTTGTACATACGTAAATATGTAATAGGTTTTATTCTTTGCCGTGCTTTGGGTTACAACAGAGTGAAAAAGTGTTAAGCAAAGCTAGAATACCAACATCAGACACATTAGCTGGATCAGAAAGGATATATATAGATATCTAATTAAAATATCTGACTGTAGTTCTAGGTTCTTTGATTATTTACTCTTAAACCTCCCGGTGCAATGAAAATTATTCAAACAAAAAACACAGACAAATTCAAAATAAGTATAAAAGCAACTGCTGTTAAGTAGTTAATCTAGACTTGAACTAGCCTTCAAACTCCTTCACAGCTTATCCTGAAAGGAACAAAACATTTCATCTTTCAGAGGCAACAACTAAGACTGTGATGTTATCTTTCTAACAGTATGGCTTTGAACTGTGACATTTATTCTGACTTCCACATTCATTCTTATTCCTAGCTTCATGCTGAAAGAGGACTTCATTCATATTTGCAGATATTCTTTTGTCGCTGTTATTCAACCTTTACCTTGAGGCTTTCTTTTCCCCCATAGAAAAGTGCTTTTATGAAATTTGGTCCATTGAATTTCATGATCACTTCTGAAAGCAAAGAGCACTTTATGATAGCTCTATCTCTGCAACAAAGAATATGTGTTAACAGAAGGGATCTGGCCAATGCAGATTCAAATATTTAAAAAATTGTCAGTGGTTGAGTGATACTATCTATATGAAATCATTTGAGGATGTAAAGGTGAACATTTGAGGTGATATTCCAGCCCATCTAAACTCAAAGCTTTTCTAGCAATTTTAATGTCGCCTGCATTCTACTTCTTCCTTTTGTTCTTCACTGAAAAGATAACTAACTGATAAATAAAAATGTGAGTAACAATTCCTTTCCTTTTTTTCAACATAGTAAGTGAGCAAAGAGTACCGGACAGCAGAACAGAACAGAAATAGGTGACAGGACAAAATGATGAAGTGACTGTGCACACAGTCTGATTGATAAATTGGGATGATTTGAGCTGCTAAGAGTTTCAAAAGAGGAACACTGTACCACACATGTGCAACGTGTCTGCAGATCTAGTCTTGGAATCTGAGTACAGAAGAGAAATCTCTAGGCAGAAAGGGCACGGTTCAGAAGAGGCTGAAGAGGTCTATTTTAGCAATACTAGTTTATAAAAATGAAGTAGCAAGGGAGAAACATAAATGTATTTACTGAGAAGAAATATAGGAGTTTAGATGAAGGGTCATGTCTAAAAACTCTCCTTTTGCCTAAAACAGATCCAGCTGTTGCTGCTTCTCTTCACTTAATCAACCTTTGCAAGAACCCCGTTATTTTCTCCATTTCCCTTCTTGCTCAGTCAGGTTCCTGATGATTGGTTCCTGTATTTTTCTGTGAATAGGAGTCTGTGAAGAAGTAAAAAACTTAAAAAACTGTCATGGTCCTCTTCCTTCCCAGAAGAACAGATTCCTGTACACTGCCATTTAGAGCGGAAGTAAAGAAGTCAAAGCAGAAGCAGAGAGCTGGAGAGTTGTGGAGGATCTTAGGGTGGTGTAGCATTTAAAGACAATTGTTGAGTTCCCACTGAGTTGTGCATGGCTGAACCATGCCATGTCTAATGCCTGGAATAAAGTCTCTCCTTTGTTCTAAATAATTAAAAGGTGTCAAGCCAATAAGAAAAAAAAAAATTACCTGTATTTAATGAAAGAAAATTGAAACTATTTCAAAAGATAGACAACCTGTAAGATTAGACTGAAAACTAAGATGAATTGATTTTGATTTTGTTAATTAGTTTTCATTTTCTGAGCTGTCCACATACCATGATAAATACAACCATACTTTTACAGCTTCTATTTATCCCACTTTTGAATCTGTCAGGAAGTTGCCATGGCAACATCACACCAGTCCATCAAAACAATTAGCCATAACTTTGTGTGTTACCTGACTCAGCATCTCATGACAGCCAGTCTACTGCTAAGAAACGCTGGGCCTATTACTGCTCTCTCTAGGGTTTTGCAGCCTTTTGTTCAGTTTAGTGTTTCTACATCCTTCAATGTGGTGCAAGAAAATTCTTGAAGAGTAAAAATTCTGTTAGAAAAAGACTTACTTTTAATATAGGATTTGTTGAGTTTACTGATTTCTCTAGGGTCTACCCAAAGATGGATGGAAAGTAACATTATGTTTCAATTTAAGGAGTCTTGTTGCAGGAGCAAGAAAGGAAGCAAATTCCAAGAACAGCAGTCTGTGATGCTTTTCATTTTCTTTAGCAAAAGCTGATCTACACCAGCTCTTTAGCTAACACAGATTAGTCTGTCTTTCCCAGTTGTGCTGCACTGGCTGGCACATTGATCCTCCTGCTCCTTTCTCTTCCACACCTTCTCCAGCCAGCCTTATGAGAGGAGGAGGAGCAATCTGGAGTTAGGTCCCTCTCCCACCACACATCTGTGCATGGTCGGAGGAGAGAGTAGACAATGCAGGGCACCGGGTATTCAGCATAGCTCCCATATGGGACATAAGATATTATCTCCATGTCAATAGCAGAATTTGTTCTGCAGTGACTGTAATTTTAGTCATCTATATTAAAGTGCATCTAAAAAAATGACAAGAAACTACAATGGTCCTTTTTTATATAAAAGGATAAATAGAGCATTTTATTAACACTTTTTGCAGCAACAAAAGTGACACAGTCCACATCTTTTTCATTAAACACAGCAAAAGCTATGGTCACATTTTACATCACTTTGAGGCACAAAGCAAAATATTTTTTCTTAAGGTCAAGGTATGATTTGCATTAAAAAAAAAGGAGAAGAAACAATCCTCAAGTTGTATATTGCGGTAGCAGGGTTTCCAATCACTAGCACAATACAATGAACAGACCAAGAATCCAGAATGGATTATTACATACAATAATAATCATTTGATTTAATTAAGAAATGGATCATTGTTGTCATTTTAGAGTATTAAGAAGTGGTCTGGTGTTGCTAACTTCAGTTTGGTTCAGTTTGGTTTAATCCCAACAACCCCAAATATATACAACAAGCTAAATGAAGGTTAATATATAGTCTAGAAGATTATGCACTTTGTAATGCATTGCACTTATTGCTTGGTACACTAATGTTGCAGTAACTGTTGAGTTATGCTAAAAAGACAAGCGTGATGCTTGTTGGCTTCTTTCAACCCAACACTAGTTATTTGCCACTTTGGTTTATTGTGAGTTTATTATGTTACTCATATTCAGTGTCCATTATTAGGTTTAATCGAAAGACAAATACATTTTTTAATTCAGGGATTTCTAAAATAGCAACATTTTCTATAATTACAGTATCTTCAATAAACTTATATCTATGTATACAACTGTGGCACGATGTGTAAAAATATGAAAGCTATTAAGGGAAGAATAAGGGTTAAATTATTCTCTGTTTCCTCTATTGGCTTCAAAATATTCTGCAAAACAAATACATCCTTTTTCATAGGGCTACTTGCTCATAGTAAATTTCTCTTTGGAATTTTGTAGAAGACTATATCTTTTTCTAGGTTATATTGTTTTTTTCTCTCTCTCTAAAGACACCAGTACAAAGTTGGAGTATACTGCAAAGAAAAGAATAATAAAGCTTGTTTTTTGATAAAGGTATTTGACAGTCTGCATGAAAAGTCAGACTTAACATTATATATTGTTTTTATAATAGTTGATAAATGCAGGGAAGAACATGACAATACCTATAATTTCATAAGAATCTGCAAAGAATAGAAACAAGAATTTGTGCCTGAACATTCAGTATAAAACTCCTAAATAATTCCTTTATTCATCACAGAGTAGCCTGCAGCATGTAATCACGATAAACATACAATATGCCCTATTTGTTCTTTAGGGTTGATACAAGTACCGTTAAAGGAACTGGATCAATCCTCTGTAAATGCCTAGGACTCAACCTTTCTTCTTTAAGAAAGCTCTTGTCTTAGACTAAACACACAATTCCTACATTGCACTGAGTAAACGTGTATTTAACACAATCTCTTTCAATACAGTGTAACAAATATATAAGTGCATTTTTAATGATCAAGTAATTTTGGCTTTCTAAAAAGAGCATTAGATGTGCCAACTTGGTTGCTTAGTTGTGCTTTAATCCTTAGTTACGAGTTTTAGCTCTTGTATACTGTAAGTATCTAATTGCCTCTACAGTTTTGACCAGTAAACCCTTAAAACTCTAATGTTTATAGAACAAATATAACCTAATGAAAGTGATGACATGTCACAACTCATACAGATTGCACTTTAATGGATTTTTTTTTACAGTAAGACCTTCCTGTTTGATATGTGTTTACATGTTTATACCACATTTTATTTCTGTGTGCAAACAATCACAATGAATTTAATCACAAACACTACAAAATATACCCAATATTTAGGTTTGTTATGAATAATCTCCTTCCTTGTAGTTGTATGAGTCTTGTACTTCCTCTTGTACAAATTCCTCTTTTTTCTCCCAACCATTAGGCCAGCCACCGTTGACCTGGGTTGTAGCACCGTAAGACTTGGTGGTACCATAATTTACGTAATTCTGAGTAATGTCCCCTGTCTCTTCAGCAAGTTCATCTTCATGAATAAAGCCACATTTCTCTTCACTTGTCTGTTCAGGGTCTGCCCAGGGTTGTTTCTCTCCTGAAGCAAATATGCCATAGAATATAACACCTCCGTAGTGAACTAAAGCAGCAATGAGGAAGACATACTGCCACTCTTCACGTGTCTGTAAAGAAGAAATTTGCTAAATGAGACTAGTGCATAGATGTACCTAACTCTTCTGAGCGGCAACATTTAAATTAGGGATTGAGGCAGTGACAGTCGGCACAACTAAAACATTTGAGCATCCAGTTTCTAATTATTTCTGTCTTTGAAAAATCACTATTCATTAGCTTACAAAAGCGTTGACCTAGTGAACATATAGTGCAGCATGCTTCAAATTTACAAGTTCCTAGATGCTATTCCCTAGAGGTCTCAGACTAATACGGATATTCTGGCAAGTTGTACTATGGAAAGGTCTTTTCCTTGAAACCGCTGGTATTAAACTGGAAGATTTGAAAACTGTATTGCCGTTTACCTTGTTCTTTGTCATTGCTCCGACAATTATAGGGCAAACCATTCCAGACAAGGTCCCGACTCCATTAGAAATCCCCATTAAGATGCTGGCATACCTTGGGGCAATGTCTAAATGGTTGACATTGAATCCTGCAATACAAAGGTCAGCAAACATTCATACCAAAAGCAGAGCATTACTTCAGCTCTGAAAAGTAGTGCTATCACTTGACAATTTTACTGTGACATATTTGGGCTGTTTAATTGCATTTCTTTTCCTCTAAAAGGCTTATAATGGTTAAGTATTCCTAGACAGACTCTGGATTTTCATTTTCTTTTAAAAACATATTATAAAAGGGTACCAAATGTATTGTCTTCCCAAAATTGCAGTTTTAAAATAAATCCCAGTAGTGGCCGTGTGGAGTAGAGAACCCAGAAGATATTTAGGCAGGGAGAAAGTTCATATTTGACAGCGTAATTCATGACCATATCATGCTGAAAATAACATGTCATTTCTTCTTCCAGCTTCCACCACTTTCCTTTCCTATTGCCCACATTTTTCTTTTTGTCACACAGACCAGCAGAAGGGCGTTCCCATCTGTTCTTGAGTGGTAAAATGGAGTAAAAAGACAGTATGTATAAATTATTTATTAATTATTGTTATAAATATTTGTTTGTTTTCTTGCGTTGTCAGCAGCTTGATTCTGGTCAAATTTATGCAGTAACTATTTAAATAATCTTAGAAAAAAACACATGCTTCTCTGAAGTGACAGAACTCATTGTCCCCAAAACAAGCACTTAAGTGAAACCAGAAACCAGCTCTTTGGATACAGAAAGATAATAAAAGGGAAAAGGCAGGCAGTATGATACGGGTAACTGTTAGAGAAAGCACAGCACACTTTTCAAGTTGTACAAAACAGGCATGATACCTTGCAAAATATGTGGGATTAAGGACAGATTTCATTAAGAAGAGTTTAGATGTTTGGCACAAAAGAAAAGAGAGCCTGTTTCAGACATAAGGAACCAGCATGGGAGAGGATGTGAAGATCACAGTGGGAAAACAAGGGAAGGCCAGGTGACTTGTGTTTGGGAAAGGCAAAGGCAAAGGCAAAGGGGTGATGTATCAGCGGGAAAGGGGAAGAGCTGAATTTGAAGTCAGAAAAAAACCTGCTAGTGATTAGGCCCCGAAGTAATAAAAAAATGCAACACTAACAAAGCGCTAACTAATATACAGTGGAAAAAATAGTAAAAGACCTATACTTAAACAAAGATGTGTAAATTTAGGTATCACTGTATAATATTGGTCCATTTGTCTTACATGTTTGATTTCAAGAAAAATCTATCATGTACGTTAGCACCTCACTGAAAAGAAAGTCTAATTTGCTGCAACGAATACAGAAAGTATTGAAGTATTTAAACAAAAATAATCTAATATAGAAGATATGGTACTGATTGTTCTTTCCTTTTTAATGATCATAAATAATGGCATTTGGAATTCTGAGGTTTGCTTAAATTACTGTCATTGAATAAAAACCAAATGAGAGGTCCTCTCTCTTAAGATAAAACGATTTACTAGTAGCAGTAATATAATCTTACCAGATATGGCGAATCCACTAAAGCCTACAGCAAGCACTAAGAATGAAATAGCCACTCCTTTACTGTGAGAATATCCCACCACGAGAAGAAGAGTTGCTTCCATACCAAAACCTGGGGAAATCATACAGAAAATTAGGCATGAGATTTAATTCCCTCTCAAATATTGCAGGCCTTAGGAGATGGTAATATTCCACAGGAAGACAGAGGCAAAACATTACCTCAGTGTGGAATATAATCGGGTATTTCTTTCATCCCTAAAACCCACATGTTCTCAATATGTCAATATCTCAAATAATCCTTTTTTTATTCTTTGTATGCTAATTTATTGTCAATTCCTGTCAGTTTTAAGATGAAAAGAAATACCTGTGATTTGGTTAGGTCAGTCCAGCCAGCCCTAATGGGAATATACACTTTAACCTGCTTATGAATTTTGCAGCCCTTATCACAGTCAGGATTCAGCTCACGGGACTTCAACCTCTCAGAAGTCAGATATGCCATCTCAGGTAGTCATCTGGGCTCTCCTAGTGCAGAGGGTGTTTAGATGAGGAGATAAGCTTCACTAAGTAGCTAAGGGTAAGCAATTTACCTCCAAAAAGCTTATCTGTTTCTTTAACAGCCTAAAGGCTATTTCAAATACCAAACATCTATATTGAAGCTGGGAATAGGAACAACTGTGTTCACTTTTCTTTACTAACCACAACTGTAATACACAAAACATTTCCAAAGTATTGATTCATAAGTACATAAAACCACACAGTTTGTTTCTTTACCGTATACAGCATACTATATGGGCAATGAATCTGTTCAAGAAGCTTTGTAATAAAATAGGAAAACTTACCTCCACAGTTCATTATCTTTCTCACGGTAGTGGTTGAAAGAATCTGCCTGCTTCTTAAAAAGTCTGCAATTTGTCCCCCAATAGGAACAATAATTGTCATCACTAAATGCGGCACAGCAGATAAGATACCCACCTAAAATAATCATTAAAAGTAGCAGAGTATAAACCGTAAGAAAATATTGATTCTTCATTTTCTGAAACATTCAGCAACTAAGTAATTGTTTCTCTTCAATTTCAGGCTATGTGCTAAAACTAAAAATCTTAGCTTGGTTTATTAAATGAACAAAACTGGTGGCCTTAAGTTGTCATTGTATTTTATGAAGGAACACAACTCTAATGCTGTGACACTTTTTGTTTATAGATTGTTTTCACAGTTTATATTTAAGCTAGTGGCTGTTTTTTTCCCCTGACTTACAGTCCCTCTGCCCCTTCTTTTCAGAAAATGTATGATCAAATGTGTCGAACTGAACAGCTACATTTCTGTTGGTAATAGTTTGGCGTAGCATTGCCCAGCAAACCTAACTTGTCTAGACAGATTCCCTGTGGATCATCCTCATGTGCTCAACAGCCATTTGCCTTTGATTTCCGACCATCTCTCAAGCTTCAGGTTTCATGCAGGCGAGGGATATGTCTGGGAAACTCTGTACGTGGTGAAAGATAACATACTAAATATCCCTTGACAATATTCCAAATGCTGTACATCCTAGCAAAGAAAGACATGGTAATTTTGTGATGACTGTCCCAAAATATAATAATTTATTTGAAAACCATTCCTTGAAAGTGAGTGTGACCGAACTGCTACCTGCTATCTCCTGTCAACATAACTGACTTGCAGATCATTTGGTTTGGTATGCATGGCATTTTATTCTAATAGGAAATTCTGATTAGTGTGTATATCTGAACATGTGCTTATGCCCAGGGTTTTTTGCGTAATTCCTGTCAGAACTACAGTGTATCAGTCTGGCCTGATGCCTGACTTGAGTTACAGCAGCGTGCAGAGCAGACAAACTCCATGAGAACAAAAAGAAAACAAGTTTTCTCTACTCTTCAATTAAAGTTGTGCAATTCTGGTTTTCACTGCAGTTTATATATGTGGCAACTATGTTGTGACAGCTCGCTTCGTGGTAATAGATGTTTCTCCCAGTAAGCCAGATATTAACTCTGAGGTAACGATGGTATTGCAGTTACTGCTGCGAGGTGTTCCTGGCTAAATGATAGCTATTCCTTTATGAGCATCCATAGCCGCTGCAGGCGAAAACTGACTTTGCTGTTGTTGTTTACAACGCTCCTCATTTCTTTGAATACAGTCTAAGAAAAATCATCTAAACCAAAATTATCAGATTCATTCTAAAGGATGTGACCATTCTTACTGCATGCATAACAGATGATGTATCAAGCATAACAAAGCTTCTTAAAATAACCCCGGCTGAAGAGAGAAGCCCATCTTTAAATGCAGGATGGCATTACATAATTTTGACAAAACTCCATAATACAACAACACTTTGGAAGCTACTCATCTAATTGTCACTTACACCACAATTTAGGGTGACAACACCTCATGGAACAATATCAAAAGCATACAGGTCTCTCTAAAGCACACACACACACACACACACACGTCACTTTCACAAGAGGGAAATCTGTGTTGGTAGAAAGCTTACTACATGCTCTGGAAGCTTGTTTGCATGTATCCACACTTACATTACAGGTCTGCTCCAAAATTCATATGAATTACATGGAACCTTGGATTATCCCTATGGCTCATATTTTGCCACCATCTCTTTCGTTTCCTAAGTGAAAAAGGGGGAGCAGTTCTCCCCACATTAAAGAGGGATATAAAAGGTGATAAATTGTACTATCCTTCCTAAAACTAGGTCGTCCTGCTTTGTAAAATGCACCGGAAAAAATGGAACCACTTGTCAATGCTTTACAACTTTGGTGGGATCCTGCATCCCCTGGGGTGTCAGGGACAGAACCGTAATGGGTTTCTCAATACCTTTCCAATACCATGCATGATCTGGTTTCAAGCACTTAACTGAAGGTCTTTTTGCAACATGGCCCCAAGTAGACCATCACTAAATCTCATCCTGCCTTCACCTTCCCCTGTCCAATCCTTTGTCATTGTTACTACTTTATTTATACATGCTGGTCAAGGGAACAGTAACTGGGAGGGATAAGATTTAAGGCTTGTAATCCCATGATAAACATGCAGAACACTTTTCTTTCCTCCTCCTAATAAATACCACAAATGTAGCTGTGATATTGACTTAGCTAAGAGAAAAGCTTTATGTTATTTTCACATACCTTGCTGATTTCAAATCCAAACACTTCCTCAAAGTAAGCAGGCTGACTAATAAGCAGCAAGTAAAAAGTCCAGCTTCTACAGAAGTTTGCAACAATTATTGCATAGACTGGCATAGATGTAAAAAATTTTCTCCATGGAGTTTTGTATTTCTGAAACATAGAAAGGGGGATCCAGTCACCATTTTGATCATTATCAACTACCTGTCCTCCCTTTTCCTATCTGTTATTTTTACCTATAGTTCCACAAGCTCATATTTGCACAGCTTTATGTGTCTGAATTCTAATGACTTCAATTATCATAAAGTACATGCATCCACATTTGGATGATCAAGATTTAAATTAAAAACATAAGCAAGTAAAAATTACTACAAAATGCACAAGTGGAGAAACTCAGTGATACTTAGCTCTTTCACAACACTCATGTACAAGTGCCATTATCTCAATCACATAAACATGAACATACTAAGTCCAAAACAATAATATGTCTTTAAAAGACAATGTTGCTGTATTGAAGCCAACAGTCAGATTTTACACTGTAAGTACGCAACTGCATCCAGATTTATTTTAGGCACGTATTTCAGCATTTAAATCTTAATCCCAATGTTGTGACTATTTTTTTATGAAGTCACAACTGAAACTGCTTTGTCAATACATTTTTTGTTTGTTTTATTGTATTTTTAAAATGAATTGCATAATGAAAAAAACCAAAAGACAGATGGACAGAACTACAGTCCTGCTGAGTCCCAGCACTGATCCCTGAGCCCAGGGTTTCTGCCCATCTGTGTTGATCCAAGTACAGGATCCAGAACCAGATGAGTGTTTGAAAATCGCTTCGGCAAGGTTTCAGGCTGAATTTAGTCTACTCTTGATTTGAATACTGTCTCTTCTTCAAAGAAAAACAGCCCATAGATGGAGATATGCAACACCTTGTATACCTATTAAATTACACTTAAGTGGAATTACGGGAAGAATTTCAGCCTAAATATTTTAGAAGCAGCTGAACTATTGATACAAACAAATCACTTCCAAAAAAACATTTAATTAAAAAACAACAGTAAAAAATAGATATAAATTGTCCAGCCCAAGTTAGAATTATATGGACATCCTTTGAAGTATCTCATTTCGTGTCAGATTTTCAAAAGGACTTAGAGGTGTAAGAAACCATGAACGCTGCTGAATACTACTGAGTATCAACCCAGATATTCCTCAGAGAACACCTAAAAATGTCACCTATCAAAGAAACGACTGTGTAATATTTCCAGTTTTCTATTTAATCTGGATCAAAGTTTTTTTACTAAGAGAAAAATGGTTTATTCCTGAGTTCAATCAAGAATAAATGTTCTGACCAATTAGAAAACATAATGGAGAGTGGTAGTGAGGGTCTACTGGGAATGGATGGTGTAATAATTTGAGCAGACAAAGTGAGGCAGAAGAATCAAAATTTTTTTACTTTCTTGAATTATTAAGCGTGGTGATAGTTTCCTTAAAGCTTTTCAATAGTTAGCGAAATAAGAAAATTATTATTTAGCACAACAGGATTATTAAGTGGCTAGAAAATTCTCTGAGTTCATAGCTGGTTTTTTTAGTTTTTGAGAACTAATCCAGTACAGAACTGAGTCAGATTATGAGAGGCTTGAGAGCGTGCTTACAGCAAAGTTACCACAATAATGGGCAATGTTCCAACCTGCTCTAGTTGAAGATGTCCCTGATCCTTGCAGAAGGGTTGGACTAGATGACCTCTAAAGGTCCCTGCCAACTCAAACTGTTCTATGATCTTGTGATTCTCTTTGTGCAGAAGCAATACCTGCTCAGAAATCCATCAGCAGATTTCAGATCTCCCCTCCCCCCCAAAAATTCAATTGCTTCACACGTGCTTTTCTGTTTTAAAGAAGAAGGAAGTTTGATTTTTTGTTGTTTTTGTTTGATTTTTTGGGGAGCGTTATTACTATCTCATAGGAAACAAGTGTATGAGTAATAGTCTTACTTCCATTGCACCTAGGAGGTTGGCACTCTCTCCAATGCTTTCCTCTATGTATCTCCTTTCTTCATCTGTGATGGTAGGATGCTTTGCAGGACTCTCATATGAAACCAAAAGCCAAAACATGTACCAGACTATACCAAAGCTCCCTTTGGAATGGAAAGGAAGACTTTTAAAAAATGCACAGTAAAGCAACAAACAAGGAAAAAATCTGTGAATAATTATAATAGATTTAAATGGCAATTTTTGTTACTGCTCTTCTACTGTGTCATTCTAATAGAATCGGATTGTGCAAACAATATTTGTGCAAAATACACGCAGAGCTGGACCACAGTGAAGTCTTTGTTTCATTTACAGAATGATTTCACTGTGAATATTCACTGGTATTTTAACATCAATTTGTACAATGCAGTGCAATGAAACAGCTTCCATTGCCTTTCACCAGACTGTAAATGAAGTTCCATTCTGCTTTAAGCCACTGTTTGATTACTGCACTAAAATTTTTACCTGCAAAATACAAGATTGTGGCATTGTTTTCAACATAGCAATACACTTTCTGAGTAGTTTATTAAATTTCTATAAGCTTTTCCCCTACTTCACGTCAATTTTACCCTGCAGCATGAACTCATTTGGGACTTCTGTTTCCATCAGTGTAAGTTAAGGTAGCACAACTAATGTGAAAGAGATTATGTAGGTCTTCAGATAAAATTCAGGACGTGTTAGTCAGGGCAGGTACTCTAAACTTACAGTTGTATAAATAAAAGAGCAGCATTACATGACCTGAGATTCTATAGCTCTGCATAGCAGTTGGCACTACTTGTACTTGAAGTGATGAAGGTTTCACCATGTACTAGCTTCTCTTCCTATTTAATAATGTCTTTCCTACTCTCTCCTTTAAATTCTGTTTTTTTCATTGTCCTGTTCTCTAGACTGTATTTTTAGCTTTACAGACCCACTTCTTTTTCTTTTTTTTTTTTTTTTTTTGGCCTTTTAACAGTGGCTTTTACATTTTTAAAAAGGGTAGAGTAAGGTCATATAACATTGGAGTAAGATGAGAAAAAATGCATACCATACACATAGAACACAGAAGACCACCCAGTATATTGCACTAGAATTCCTGCTAAAGGCATTGCAATAACAGCTCCTGCATAGGAACCTACAAAACAAGACATATGCGGATGAAAAAGGAGAAAAACTCAGTCTCAAAACACTCTTACTTTACTCATGAAAGAAAGACAAAAATAGGAAGTTACTTACCACAAAAAGAAGTGGTTGCTAACCTACTTCTTTCTAATGGGGGGGCCCACTTGCTCCAAATACCGTGGCAGGCAGGGTAGGTGACCCCCTGGGGAATGGGTGTGCCACAAGTTAGCTAATGCTGATCAAGCACTCAGTTCATTTTGCATTATTTGCTATTTTTAATTGCTACAAACAAGAAGCTAGGAATGCTTTGCATTTCTGTAGTCAAGTCTGAGCACAGCCGTAGAAAAACTTCACATTATTAAAGTTGAAATGGTTTTTGTGTATCACTCCAAATCATTAAAGAGGCCTTATGAAACAGATACAAAACTTAATTATTTCCTTTTGATCCCCCTCTCCCTTCTAGGAAAGAATTGCAAAGAATAAAAAAGAATCTTAATGCACAAGTAGCAGAGACAAAAGGAGCACAAAACCACAGATCCTCTGGAGTCTTTCTAATGCTGGGCTCATTTCTCCAACCCTCAGTTTTGGTGGCCTTCTAATATTTTTTGATTTAACATTTAAAGTATAATTTAGGAAATACAGATTACTGTTCCACTGCTCTAAAACTAGAAAATAAGATCAATAAGAGCTTAAAAATACAATGTCAAGAGAGAAGTTTTTGACTACCTTTGTCTTTAACAGATGTTCTTGAGTACATAAAGCAAATAATTGGCTGATATTAGTTGGCTTGATTTTAAACCAGCTATGTTTATGTGTCTCTTCAAAACCAGCCTTTAACTTAATGATAGGAAAACTACACAGAAATCATGGCATCTTGCAGTGTTGAAATTTTAGAAAATTTAGTATGAAATATACATTATTTTTTCATTAAATTCATGCTTAAAAATTATGTTGATGTATGCATAGTTACATAGAGTCACTTTGCTCTTAATCTGATGTTTTGTTTCCTATGCAAGAAGTAGAAAAAATTAAAAACTTTTGGCAAATGTTGAGATTATCATAAATGCTGAGATTATTACTCTCAATATACAAAAAGTGTTGTAAAATGCATTATTCTGTTTTGAAAGAAGATTCTATTACCAATTTCATGTTCATTTCAGTCTTTTGTTAATTTTTAGAAAAAACATAAAGGTATAGTCTTAAGATTGCCATGTTTTATTGTAACCCTTCTTCAGATGGTCCTGTTTGAGATGTTTTGCATTCACAATTCCTTTGAACAGTATCATAGAAATGAGTGGGTCTAAAACAGCTATTTTAATTTGTAATTACCCACTTGCTTCTGTTCCTCTCCTCTCTGCAATGAAGTACACCTCTGTACATGCAGATCACTTTTCAGGAATGGATCCATACCTATGCATGTATACTTTAAGAACTTGATTGGTGGTTACCTATCTTTTCAGGCACATTCTGGACCCTCTTTTGGAGTCTTTTTATAACAACAAAGCGAATGAGTTAAAATCAGCTCAGGCAACAGAGGTGTGTATTCCTGAGGAACAAAGACCCAGCAATCACAGGCTTAAAAATCTGACATTCGGTAAAGAAACAAATAAATTTTGAAGGCAAGCTCATTTTTTTTTTCTCTTAAATCACAGTAAATCTCTCATTCATACCAGCAAGAACATGGTCAGGGCCTGTGATAGAACCTTAATTCTTTATTATAGATTTAATCTGTGAGGGTAGAGAGCAAATAACTCGAGAATAGCACCAGTATAAGCCCTATGCAGTACAGGATTTCAGTGAAACTTCAGTATTAAATACATATCTCACTGGCTTCTCAGCAAAGGAAAACCTTGCTGTGTATTTTTATAGATGAAGGAAAATCAAATAGCTGTAATTCATACATTGAAATCCATTACACCAAAAGTCAGTAATAAAAAAAGTCATTTTTATTTTCCCCTGCAAAGTTACAATTGCTAATTAAAAGCTAAAAAGCATCTATCACATTTACTGGTTATTTTATCATTTTCCCATACCTCTACAAGGCCCTGCAAGATCCTCACAAAGATGACACACCCATAGTGCACCCTGGCCGCAGACGGTATTAACATGTTGAGGGAGGATGTCAGCAGTATAGCAGCACCAAATACTCTGCAAGGGTGGAAAAAAAAATAAAAGTGACTTCAGTGTTGTTCCAACTGACTTATTTCACATGTGCTCACATATCAATACAGATGTATTTAAACATATGTTCTTTATATAGGGAAAATACTAACTGCTGGACTGGATTAGTGTCTACTTCCATCTAGCGTAATAACCTGTCCGATAAGACCCAGACCAACCATGGATGTATGCGTCTATTTAGCACAATTTTCTAGGGAAATACATCTTATGCAATCACAGGTATAGATCTTACTCTCCCCATAAATCCTCACGCTCCCCTTCAATCTTCATATCTATTTCAACCAAATCTGACTGAATTCACCACCCACTAGAGAAATTAGAAACAGGGTCTCCAAATGGTTTGCTAAAACAGGTGGCCAAGTGCAAGAGAGATTCTTGTTAGTGCTTTAATTTTAAGAAAGTGGCACCATGCATTCAGTACATATAAAGCAGAAGAGAATCCACTTTTTATAAATGCCAAAGCAGCAGGAAGAATTTCAGAGATGGAATTTTCTTAAACACATGGGTTATTCAATCTGGAAACACATATCCATAGAAAACAGATCGTTCTTTCTGCTGGTTTTTCAGAGGCTACTCATTGACCATTGCTGATATTGACTCCAACAGCAACCTAGGAATTGCTTCAAATAAGGCACATTACAAGGTCTAAATAAATGTGTGACGTGATCACTAATTTTCAAAATTCTACTGCTTTGACTAAATTTTAATTTGATTCAATTAATATCTGCCCCTTGTAGGAGGAAGCCTTTTCTCCAGCATTATTTTATCATTTTTTCATGTTCATTCATTCCTTTACTGTGGAAATAATCCTTTTTCCCCCCCACTTTCCCTTCAGTGGAACTATGCAAAGGGATGAAGCTAGTAGCAATGACTGGCCGCTTTCTTTATACAAAACTATGTAATGCTAAGATAAATCCAGGAGATGTCTTAACATATGACATCACGGTATCTGATGTGGAACCGATTTGACAGAAACCTTTAACCTTAGCATGTGTTCTTCAGAAATTGGTACAGTGCCATAAGTTAGTGAGAAACAGACCTTGGGCTAAAGAAGCAGGAAGCAGCAATAAGTTTCATGACAAAAATTCTTGCCAGAGACATCTATATTTCACATTCTCTATCTAGAATTACAGCCTGATACGAATCTTTAAATAGCAAACGGAATACACTCCCCTTCTATTTGACAAATATTAAAGGGCAACAGAAAAAAAGTTTCTTGGCACAGTAAGGAAGCTTTGTTAAATAGCTCTAAATCTGGTGTCCTCATTGTGTTCCCTGTCATCCCCATCTCGTGTTAAACAAGATCTAGCTGGCTGTGCAGCACATTTCTGGCTTTGTTTGGCAGCATGTTCAATACATTTACTGGGACTGAGTGGTGCATGTGTTTGTGTTGCACTGTGTGAACTATTTTGGCCTGAATTCCATCTTTGCTCTCAATTTCTTTATGTGTAAGTTTCTAGTCCAAAAGTACGCGCAGTTCGCTTCCTTACATTTTAATACCCCCCATATGTTCGCATAAACCACACTGGTGTCTTGGTTTTCATTTGCTTTTTTTCTTTATTTATTAATGAGAAAAGTTGGGATTCATAAGAGCTTTGCTTTTGATTTTTAAAAATTCTTTTAAAAAATTAGATGTTCCTGTCAGCAGTTGTTGAAGAGCAATAGACTGTAACTGTTCTAAAGGTTCGTCAAGAAAATCCTTATTTGCTTGTAAGCAGGGAGAAAGGACTGTTTGGTTTGTAGCCTTTCCTGTTTCTTTGCTGAATAGATATTTAGCTAAATGCCTAATGCAGCAATATGGTTTTAAATTTGTGTTTGCGCATAGACTTGCTGGAGCAGATTCATAGCTCGTGTGAATCAGTGCAACTCTTTCTAAATCACTACTCCTGTTAAAATCATGCTAAGATGGAATATTAAAAAATGCCATCTCTTTCTAAGGATGAGATTTGCATAATTGTTATGGTATGTAACTGTTTTTCAAGGAAATTTACTCTAGTTTTTCAATTCTGTATCTGAAATCAGCTCCCGTTTGCCACAGCTGAAAGCTGCATTTCCCACAATTGCCTTTGTTCTCATGTTAACTAAAGACAAGCCGTTCCCTTGCATCTGATGCTTCTAGAAGTGAAAGGAAAATGCAATTTAAGGAATGATCACAGACATGCATCTTCCAAATGAAGATCTTGCCTGTATTTAGACGCACAAGTACCAGTGAATATTTAGTTACATTGAGGAGCAGATAATCAAATAATTCCACAATGTCACTTGTAAGTCAATTCTTTCTCAGAACTGTGCTTTATTGAAACAGCTTTCAGATTAATTTTCGCCCCCAAAGTCTATGTATTTGAGGGTAGAATAAATAAGAAATAAATTATGATTCTTGTCAGAAATGGGGGGTTTTTATCCTTTTTCTTGAATGAGTGTTAAAAGTGGCACCATGAATTTAGTGCATGCCTATTTTAGTGAGTTGGTTTCATCTATGACTCTTAGTCGAGAGCAAATACATCTTGCTACATTTCCTCTGCATGTCTCAATGCACATCCATAAATATATTCAGTATTTCTCCTGTGTACTCTTTTGTCCTGTTACATTTATTTCACCTCCATAAATACTAAATTCTTCTTCCTAACAGAGTATCATGATACAGTTCTGGGTTTTGTAACAAACTTACTGTTTTATTGTTTTAAATATTTCCGCTAACTACATTTATTATGATTTCAATCAAATAAGAATGATTTTCAGCTACAGTAAATCTAAATGTATTTGAATGCTGCTCACATTCTAATATATTTAATTGGGAAATGGAATATTCCGATTGTTCCTAAGGCATTTCTAAGGCATTTTACTGACCCACGCATCAAACCTCAAAATTAGATTGTTCTTTTTTTTTCTGCTTAACTTTTTGTCATGTTTATTAAGCTAGTGGTTTTATGATACATTATACTCTTTAGTTTCATTTCTGCTTCTCAAATAACTCTCATTTGCTCAATTTTGCTGCAATGTCAACTCCAAACATGGGTTAGAAACCATGTTTTTCTTTGAGATCCTTATGTTTCCATGGCAAATTGACAGCATGTGGGGTTCCATAGTTGTATTTATTGCAACTGAAGATGGATTGTATTCATTTTCAGACAGACATGGTTCCCTGTTTAAAATAAGACTTTCAGCCAGTTTAGGAGTGTTCATTCCTATCCCACACCCCACTGCATTTTTTATTCATGTGTCTGTTTGTCCTCTTGATATTCCAATATCATCTTGAATGGGCAGATGTGGTCCTTATGGGATACACAGTCTTAAAACTGTTGTTCCCTGTTGTGCATTTCTCTGGTCATGCCTTCTATAGCAGCATGGACTTGTGGAGAAGGCTTTATACCTCGAGCACACACACCATCAGAGTTCACATCTCTTACAGACTCAGCCAAGTCTTGCTGCATGGTACCTTTAGGTTGAGCCCAGCCTAGGAATTCCATGTAGCTGCGCTGTTGAATTTTCATTCAGAGGTATTCCTGAACATCGATTTCATGCTGAGCACTCTCCAAACCCCACAAAACATATTTTAATGCCATGGCACAAATGAAGAGCTTTAGGAGATTGAAGGTAAGCTCTGGGGAAACTGCAGTATGACACAGAGACAGAGCAGGAGAGGCCAATACTGCCAGCATTGCCATCATTGCCAGACATCATTCTCAGCCCTGGCATTAGGAGGGAATTAAAATGTCCTGATGTGCCTTCAGCAGTCCCTAGACTTAAGGAAAAATTCCTTTCTGACCTGAAATCATCAACTGTGTAAATATATACAGAAGAAAATAGCCATATACAGAAGAAGACAAATTAATAAATACAGTAGTAGTATGTCAAGGAGAGAAAAATGGTAAGTCCTCATCCTCATAAGTGACCAGAGTAAGTCCTGAAACAACAAATTATGCTTTGCTTATCTATTTCTAGACCCAGTAGACTCAGTCCCAAAAGACAGGCTCTAACATTGCTCCTCAGTGTTTTACTGACATTGGCATTATATGAAGGTCATGAGCTGTGACTTAGTCCCCCTGTAATACAAGTAGTAATAATAGCAAAATCATATTTGACTAAGAGACGTTTGGGATGGGAGCGGAGGAAGGAAATTACTCTGACAATTCAGGAAAAATGCTTAGAACGGAATGAGGTTGCAGGGGGAATTAATCTTTTTGGGTTTTGCGCCAGTTGGCTCATTTTTCTCTTTGGGGACAAACTAAGAGAAAGAAATGTATTTATTTTCATCTCTGGATTTCTAATCTCTGCATCTGTGCAGCCCCACTATTCTCATCTACCTTTTCCAGGCAATTCGTATTACATGAGCATTCTGCATGGAAGTGCGTTAGAGCTATTGTTACTTGGTTGGAAGAAGTGCCAGCTCAAAAACTGAGCTGAGAGCAGTGGGAACACAGATGCCTGCCAAATGCTGAGTAACAGATGGGTGACATACTGGGTTACACATATGATATCTGAAAGTAAGGGGTCCTGGTTGGAAGCATCCTTTTACCCCAGTGACTGGGAGTGAAAATTGCTACCAATGACTCCATAAAGCTAAAATCCCTTTCATATGTGCAAGGGGAGGAGTCAATTCCTCAGCTGTCTGAATCCCATGTATTTCTATTTATGTCATTTTTTAATATAATTGACAAATTCCACAATTATCTATGTCTCTATTCTCTGAATAAGTCGTCCAACTTTGTGAAAATGAAACTGTTATGGAAACCAGATGTCTGTTCTGAAGGATATGAAGTACCTTAACTAAAGTTTATCCTTTAAAAAAAATAAAAATCAAAGGGTAAGTCTGTGTGTTCAAAACAGCATTTTTTATATTTATTTAAGAGAAAATACTGTAGGTTTAAGATGCTTAAATATATGCTGTATCAGTGAATTATGAATGCCATTTCATTCAAATCCAAAGTAATTAAATAGTAATTACTGGTCACTGACATCTACAACGT